TTTGCTCCACAAATATTTACTGAGTGCTCACATCAGAGAGCAAATTGTTAGTGGCTCTCTCTAGGAGGGTGGGGGCCCCCACTGCTCACCATTCATAGCAGATTCCAACCATTCTTCCCAGTTTGGTTAATGGGGGCCCTTGGGCTGAGCATGTGGAGCTCTGAGGGGAGGGATCCATGTCCAGGGCTGGGTGGGGACCACATGGGGGCTGCTGGGAGGCAGGAGGGGGCCGGAGGTGGATGAAGGGGGAATTGGTGGGGTTGCCATGGGTGCGACAACAATGAGTCCATGCAGGGACCCCCCAGGGGGCCGGGCAGGGCTGAGGGCCCTGTAAAAGTGAATGGGTTTATACCCGGTGCTGATGGGCAGGGCTTTGTGCCATTCAGTCCTTTCTCCAATCCACCCACCCACCTCCATCCAAAGAGATCCCCTCTCCATCACTACTCTATACACTCTATAGCTGTGAGCACCTAATATAGCTCCTGTGGCCTGGGAGGAGAGCCAGGAAAGTAAATCACTGTTATCTAGAGAAAGCGCTGGGTGAGCTCAGTTTAAGGGGCAGCCTTGGAGCAAATGAGGTAATGGCCAGCTTCGCTGGAGGGGAGCGGAAGGGAGGAGGAGGGGAGCCCGTGGAAGGAAGAGCGAGTGAAAAAGCAGAGATGTGTCAAACAGGACAGCCTGGCCCAGGAACCAGGGCTTGCAGCCAGAGCCAGGCTGCTGGCCGCAGAAGAGGCCAGCCACAAGGCAGGCTACAGCAAGCATCATGGTCATGCTTGGGGCCACAGAGAGCTGAGGCTGGTGGGTATGGAGGGTGGGTGGGGAAGCGAGGGGCTGGGCAGGGGCCGTGGTTGACACTGTGACACAGAGACTACCTGGGAAACTGTAGCCACATACAGTGGGGGTGACCCTAGGAAGAGAGAGTGGATCTGAAAAATAGCTAGGAATAAATGGACTGGTAGCAGGTGATGGGTAAGGACACCAAGGAGGGAGGGCCAGCAATGATGGGTGCAGTACCAGGCAAGTGCAGGTGTGGAGGCAAGAGGCTGACTCAGTCTTGAGTTGGTTCTGAGACAGCCCGCTGGGGAGCCCAGGAGGCAGTTGTTTGCTGGGATTTGGAGCTTGGGAGAGAGGACCCTGGGCCTGGGCTGAGCTTTACAGACAGTCCTGTCCTGGTAAAGGGGACCTGCTGCAGAGCCAGGAGGTGGGGGGGGCCGCCAGTGCTACCACCGGTGACCTTGGTAAGTTGGTGTACCTCTCAAGGTCGCGGTTCCCTCCCCTGTGTAGTATGGATTGAGGTCATGGTGAGGATTAAGTGAGATGACCTGTGTACCTATGTTCTGTGCCTGGAACAATGCCTGGTGCCTGCAAGTGCCCAGTGAATCTTAGCTACTGTCGTTATGACTACTGGGGACACCTGAGGTTTCAAGTGGTGTTGAAGCGTTATGAATGGATGAGGTGGCCCAGGGAGAGAGTGGTGAGTGAGCGGGGAGAGGCTGAGGACAGCTCTGCCCCTGAGCATGTAAGGAGGTTTTCTCACTCCGTTTCTGAGCATCTGAGGCAAAATGGTGGCTAGAAAAAAATCATGGGGTTGTGGTTTAAAATCTTTTAAAACAAATTCTCACCAGACCTTCTGAATATATCAATCACTTAGTTTTATGAGCAAGCCTAATTAAACTTTTATTCGTTGTATTTCTAAAAGAAGAAAGTGACACTGCAGATACCATACAGGACATCTTTAAGGTATCTAGGAACCACTTGATCCAAAACTTGCTGTTTAACCAGCTGTGTGACCTTGGGGAGCCACCCATTCTCTCTGAGCCGGAGTTAATTTACTGTAGAACGACTCAGTCAGATCACAATCATCACTCAGGTTTCTTCTGGTCCTAAAAGTCTAGTTCTAAAAGCAACCAACTGTTAGGCTGGTTTTAGTTGCCTGATGTACTTAAAAGTTAAATGATGGATCTTCTTTAAAAACGTGTATATGTGGAGGGCAGGAGAGAAGCTTAGTCTATAGCAGGTGGGATGCAAAAGCAGGTGGGGAGAGGACAGTGTGATGGAGTGGATGGTGTCAGGTAAGGGAATCTGGTACTCCCAGCGGGGAGGGTCAGTCAGTCGGTCAGCAGCCGGGGCTGGGGCCTCTCGTGTGTGAACCGCTGTGCTGGAGGCGGGCACCATCCCACGACCATGAAATGATGCCAAGACCATAGGCAAGCTCCTGAATTTCTTCAAGCTTCTCTCTAAAATGGTAATACCAACGTTTAACTCCAAGGGTGTTATGAGAGTAACTGCACTAACATGGTGTATTTCTTTGTATACGGTGGGGCTTGCAGAGATGCAGAGAGTACAACAAAAGTTAATGAATGAGGACACGGGGATGAAGAGATAATAAGATGAAGAAGAGGTGAATTAACCTCCAGATTGCACATGGAGGGCCCTCTATAGTGGCAGGCAGTGGGCTGCAAATTCAGTTCTGAGCTTCTACTCTGTCGAAGAAAGGAGGAAATACAATCTGTCTGATCACATCACTTCTGGTTAAAATTTTTCAGTGGCTACCTATTGCCCTTGGATAAAAGCCAAGAGCCTTCAACTGTCTCACAGCCTCCTCTGCTCCCACCACATTCTACGGCATAAAGAAGCCCAACTTCTCCCTTTCTTGGGCTGGCCATTTTCCCGCTCGCTCTCATCTCTTTCCGGGCTCAGCTCATCTGTCTCTTCCTCTTGGAAGCTTCCCTGATCCTGAGGCTGGGCAAGAGGGCACTGCTCTCCGCTCCCCAAGAATCCTGTACGTCCTTCCTCATGGGCTCCCAAAGCCTGCCTGTAATTGCTGGTCTGTCTTCCCTCCAGTCACCCAACTCCTTTTCGGTGGCTCCAGCCCTCCCAGAGAGCTTGACACACAGCAGGCGCTCAGCAGATATTGGTAGAATGAATGGATCTGCTGAAAGTTGCACAGCTTCTCCTGGCCTGACATCTCTGTGTCAGGTCTCCCCATGGATCTTCAGAAAGGGGGCTCCATGTGGTGTGTTGGGACACACGACATGGCCCACGTCCTGGCCAGTTGGATTGAATAAATGGTGATCTGGGAGAAATGGAAAGAGGCTGATGGTGTGGTTACAGCAGGACTCGCTGGAGAAAAAATCTCAGATAATGAGAAGTGAGGTGAGAGTTGATGAGTCAGTTTAAGATAGTTTACATAAAACCTTCAAAAGTCATATTAGGAAGCCTGCTTTCTGTTACCACCCCTTGTAAGGCATATCTGAGAAGTTAGTGAGAATTTTGGAAATAAACAAAAGATCAGCCCCAGAAAAGAGAAAGCAGAGGCTGATACAAACTCGTAGACCCAGGGGACATTTTCTGGAGCGAAGGTCACAGAGGTGAAAGTCCAGCAACTAATCTGAATTATCCACAAGGTAAATAGATAACAAGCAATCAGAAGTTCACCTGGTGAAAGCTTTCAGACTTTCTGAGCTGTGAAGATGCTATAGTGATGCTCGTGGTGAATATTTCCAGAAGCTTGAACAATCATAGTGAACACTCCATACCAACACTCACAACTAGAGATTGTCCCAAAGATCTTTAATCATTTTATATATATATATATATATATGCCTCATTACAGATATATCACTGGAATCTAAGCTACTTGAAAATGGTAAGAACACATCCTTTTCGTGAATTTCCCACAGTGTCTGTTCCAGAATCTTCACATTATACTCGCTTGTTGAATTAAATTGAATTCAAATGATTAGAGATGTATAGTTTTCAGATATAGGAAAGACATGCTAAGTTTAATGGTAGAGGCTTCCATTTCAGATAGGTTAAAAAGAATTACTTGTAAAAAATATTCCCTACCCGGTTAAAAAAATGATCCGGAGCCTATGTGAAAAAAGCCTTAAGGGTTTTGGACAATAATGTATTGTATGTGAGTCATCATTGTGAAATGACTTCCAAGAAGATCCTCAGGACCCATGGGCTGCATTTATAAAAGTGTGTGGTGGTCCTTTCCTTTATCAGTCAAACCACATCTGGAGTCTTAAGTTCTGTTACGGACCCTATGTCTCATATATGAGATGGGTAAACACAGATTGCATTCAGGAAATGGTGACCAGGAAGGAGAAGACACTCAAAGTTATGAGATGTGGGAAACAATTGAAGTAAGATTCCATTTATGCCACATCCATCTTCTCACCCAAACCAGAATCTTGGTGCTAATTCTAGACTCTTTCACCTCCCTCAATCTCTCTTGGATCCCGGCACTGCTCTCCATTCCCAAGTGTCCCCAGCTGAGTTCTGGTGACCCCAGGTCTCTCCCAGGCTCTGGGGCAGCCCCCTTCCTCCAGGGCTGCTCATCTCCACTCATGCTCCCCACAGCTCTCAGGGTGAGCATCCTAAAATGCACATCTGTTTATACCATTCCCTGCTCAGAGTCCTTAATGAATACTGGAACCTTCAGCCCACTGACTCAAGCCCATTGTTACAGGCTTATCCTATCCTCGTCCCTCCCCTCAGGCATCCCCCAGCTCCGGCCAAACCTAGCAGGTCCCTCAATATGCCACACACTTTCTCACCTCCACACTTTTGCACCTACGGTTTCCTCGGTGAGCTAGGACACTCAACATCGAGACCATGCTAGGACAGAAGCTCAACTCCAGCTAACCCACAAAAAGAGAAAGAATGATCATGAATGCAATAGATGCCTGAATATAAGAGAATCCTGAATATACAAAACTGCCCAGTAAGAAGATTCGTTGCCTTGTCTCAATGTTTTTCCCAAGTCGAACACTTACACATTGTGGGGAGGGCAGAGACGGCAGCCAGTAGCTCTGACTTTACATCCTTTCAGCGTCCTGAATTCAGAGGCAAGAAACAGGTTTCATCCTTAGCAGAAGATCCTCAGGGAAGACGCCGAGGGTCTGAGCTGCTCTGGGCCTTCCCTGAGCCAATCACTGTGGCCAGGGGATAGGGGCTCACTCTGATTGGTCGCTGCAGCAGAGAGGGGCGGGGCACCGAGTGTGGGACCCACCAGGATCTTCTGCAGGGAGGGATGCCGGGGAGGTGGTTCCCAAAGGAAAGGATGCTGGGGTGACAGACACCTATGTCTCCTCTCTTGCGAGCCTTCTCTAACATTCCCTGAAGAGTCAAGTGCTTCCTCCTAAGGGCTTCCAGAAGTCCTCATTAATATCTCTCTCCCAGCTTGGGTTACTTTACTGTGTTTTTTGGATTATATGTCTTCTCATCCATCGGATGTAAGCTCCTAGAGAGCAGGGATTTTGTTTATCCTGGTCATCTTCTGTCTGCCCGCTATAGTCGCTCTCCACCCTTTTCACCCTGCTTGCCCATGTGGATGGTATCACGGGACCCTGGGCCTGGTTTGGCCACTGGGGCTCCTCAGCAAGAGATGAAAGGGAGAGATGAGGGGGAGACTGAGATGATTATCCCTCTGGCTCTTTCTCTGCAGGGTGACTGTGAACTGGCTGCCTCCCTGGACTGAAGGTGACAGCTCCTGCCAGACAGTTCTCTCTACATGGCTTTGGGTTCTGGAAACAGCTCCCTTCACTCGCCCCTCCCAACCCTGCTCTGCTCTTCACAGCCCAGGGTTCGGAACTATCTCTTTAGGTTTCCCTATACCCTGCCCACACCAGATAAATAGCTCCTTTATTAAGCTCTCCGCATAGCACCCAATTAGAGTGTGCCACCTGGTTCCTGCTAGGACCCTGCCTAACACAGTGTTCTATTCATCTTTGTTTCCCCAGGACTCAACACAGAGCCTTCCACACCACGGGCACTGAATGCATCCAGGAATTAAGGACTGATTAAGCATCAGCTGGTTAGAGGAGTGTTGAGCCCTATATGGAAAATGGACCAGCGGAGTAGCTTTCAAATCTTTTTGGCAAGGCTCATAGTAAAAAACATAGCTCATATTGTAGTGCAGTAGACACATACATATTTATATATAACTGAAGGAGAAGTTTCTTGAGGCAATGCTTCCCTTTATGATGTGTGAGGCACTGTGATATTTTCTACTTAATTCTACTCTGTTTCAAATTCGAATCCTCGTTTTGGTCTGCTAAATTGATTTCATGACCTGAAAAATGATTGCAAGCCATGGCTTAAGAAGCTCTGCCCCGTGACCTTTAGCGTTGCCTCCATTCTGGAGAGTCTGATTCAGACGGTAGAATTCTAAGGCATCACAAAAGAGAATGTGACAGTGTCACAGTGCTGATGCATTTGGTGGGAGTTGGCTTCATTGCCTTGAAAAAATCAAATGAAATTGCCATTCAATCTTCAGTTTTTCATAGAATTTTTACTCAAAGTTGGTCTTTTTTAGGTTTGGCCTAATTTGGAGGAGGGAGTGGCTCAGAGCTCTTAAAACACGCTGACGTGATGTGAGCAGTTTTAAGCATCGGATTCAAAAAGTCAGTGTCGGGGACCACAAGTCTGAGTGCTCCAGAGCAGGTCTGAAGTGGAAAGCTAATCTTATGTGCTTGCCTAAGGGTCCCCGGGTCTCTCCTCTGTGTCCTTGCTGCCACCAGCAGCTCCTTCTCCTCCTAGCAAAAGCATTTCTTGGTGCCCTGGTTATATGTAGAACTCGACCAAGAGGACAACACGGGCCTATCAGTGTCACCAGGGCCATGCAATCCATTTGCGATTAGATATTGTCTCACTGTTTCAAACTCAGCCCAGGTCTGTGGTCCTCCCCACCTCAAACACTGTATGATTCCATTTTAAAAACTGAGTTCTATGTTCTCTAAAATTGACTCTCCGCTCCTAATTCACCACTTGTCATTCTCCTGGTATCTGTCAAGTCAAGTTAGAAGGGTAGAAGATGGTAACAGGCATTATTTCATGGTGATTCAGAATCAAATCCTTAAAGCTGGCCTTCAGCCAGACATCACCTCCTTGCAAGGTTCTTGAGGGGGAGAAATGTGGAAAAGACAAGCCCAGGTGGGTGGGCATGCGACGAGACGGGGCTCGCAGAGCAGGCTTGGCGAGCCCTGCAGGCTGTCATTCACTTATTTATTTGTCATCATTCTTTCAAAAAATTCCTATCAACGCTCACGAGATGCCAGGTATGGGGGAGAGAACAGTGAGTAAAACGGCGTCCCTATCCTGGGGAAGCTCATGTTCTGGGGAGGGAATCAGAAAAGAGACAAATAAATAAATCTATAGATACTACCATAGGAGATGGCGGTAAGTGCTGTGCAGAAAGTACGTCCAGCTAAGAAGTGTGTCAGACAGTGTGTGTGTGTGTGTGTGTGTGTGTGTGCACGTGGGACACATTGTGTACATGGGAACATTATTTTAGTTAGTGGTGTCAGTGTGGGCTCTTTGAGGAAGTGACATTTGAGGAGAAAGCCGAGTGGATTTGAGCCAAGGAAATATCTGGGGGAAAAGCATCTGGTGAGAGGATGACACACGAAGGCCTTGAGACCACGAAGAAGAGTCCTTATGCCCAGGGGAGAGGCAGGCCTGGGGCCTCGAACCACAGCAGGCTGAGCAGCATCCTCCGCACTTCTCCACCCCAGCCTGTGCCAAACATTGACCACCTTTTTGACACAAAGACTGAATGATTTTTAAAATTATTTTTAATTGCGGTAAAATATACATAATAAAAGTTACCAGCTTAACCATTTTTAAGTGCATAGTTCAGTGGCATTAAGTACATTCACAATGACGTCAACCACCATCACCATCCATCCACAGAACTCTTTGCATCTTGCAAAATTGAAACTCTATACCTATTACACAATAATTCCCCACCCCGCCTTCTCCCAGCCCCTGGCAACCACCATTCTCCTTTCTGTCTCCAGGAATGAACTTGACAACTCTAGGAACCTCATATGAATGGAGTCACACAGTATTTGTCCTTTTGCGACTGGCTTATTTCACTTAGCATAGTGTCCTCAAGGTTCATCTGTGCTGTGGCACGTGTCAGGATTTCCTTCCTTCTTAAGACTGAATAATAAGCCATTGTATGGATATGCACATTTTGTTTACCCTCGTCTTCAACGGACACTGGGTTGCTCCCACTTCTTGGCTGTCGTGAATAGTGTTGCCAAGAACACAGTTGTGCGAATATCTCTTCGAGTCCTTCTTTTCAGTTCTTTTGGGTGTATACCCAGGGTGGATCGACAATTTTAGGTCACTTTTCCCTTGGCTTGATCCTCTGTTCTTTGCACATGGCCCCCCGATAATGATGCCATCCACCGAGAGCTGCCATTGTCTGTCTGCATGGCCCTCTCCCCTGTGGGCTGTAAGCTCCTGGTGGACAGGGAGCGTGTGCTTGGCATTCTTGCACCCTGGTGCTGTGGACGGCACAGGGTCTGTCCTCCAGAAGGTTTACTAAATGAATGAATTTGTTCGGGGCTGCTGCTGAGAGGAGGGCAAAGGGTGGGTTGGAACGAGCGCTTATGTATTGGGCCTCTCTGATTTTGTTCAAAAGGAAGGCACTGCCCCTAAAATAAAAACTGATATAATCCTCCTCCATGTGAGAGAATAGGAAACCCACAGAGGGAAGTGACCAGCCAGTCATCCAGGCGCAGTTAGTGGCCCAGCCGGGATCCGAATCCAGGCTCCTCATTCTCTCTCCTGAGCCGCTGCCCCACGGCCTTTGCCAAGAAGGGAAACTGTCTTCTGTTGTTTTCTCCCTTGTTCTCTGCTTGTCTCTTCCCTCACTTTCAAGGGCAGAGCAGTGCCAAGGACAGAAGAGAGGGCAGACCCCTCACCAGACTCAGCGTTGGTCCTGGGCCCTGCCAGGTTGGACAGCTCGAGGTGGCATCAGCAGGGCTCCCGGAGGAAGGCAAGTGTGCTTTCTCTTCCCACGAGCTTTAATCAAGTTCAGGGTCTTTCAGCCCCAGGGCTCTGAGTGGCGACCCTGGCTCCAGGCAGCTCAGCTGATCTCCAGATGGCTCAGCAAGAGGGACACGGATGAAGCTCTTCACGCTCCGAGGCTCTTCCCTGAGGAGATGGTCTGCTTCCTTTTGATCGTGGACTCGACCGGTCGAGAGAGAGAGAGAGAGAGAGAGAGAGAGAGAGAGGGGCCCAAAGTGTGGGTGTGGGTGTGAGTGTGAGAGACCTAAGGGGTGGAGAGTGTGTGTAAGAATGTGTGTGAGAGAGGCCCAAGGTGTATGGGGTGTGTGTGTAAGTGTGTGAGTGAGAGAGACCCAAGGTGTGAGATGGGTATGAGTTTGAGTGTGTGTATGAGTGTGAGTGTCTGTGCACACGTGTGTGTGGTATAGACAGGGAACAAGAGAGAAATGTGATGCAGAGAATCAGAACCTTCCTCAGAGAGTGCTGGGGGCTAAATGACCTGAAAAGCACTTGGAATAGTACCTGGCACACCGTAGGGGCCGTGCGGATGATTCTTACTATGATGGAGGCAGAGAGACACAGAGAGAGGTAGATCGGGAGAGAGGGAGGTAGAGAGGGGCAGGGAAGGTGGGAGGGGGATGGAACTAGTCCTTGAAACCCCAGCAATTTAACAAAGGTGGAATCTGGGGAGAGCTCCCTTGTCTTGTGGTTCTCCCATAGAGCTGACTATGCTCACCCTCCTCCCCTGTTGTATTTTTAAATTTAAAAACACAGTCTCCATTGTGTAAAGGAGGATAATCTTCTGGATTCCCTGAAGTACCTCAGCGCCCTGTACATAGAGAATCTGCCTGGTACCAGCGATCGAGGTCCCCCGGACAGGGACAGCGGGGTCTGTTCTGCAGCGGCCACACCTCCCTCCCTCTGTCCCTCACTAGTAAGGACGCTGCAGCCTCAGCCCTCGCTGCCCACCCTGTCCCCATAAATCATTTAGGCTCTGTCCCATCCTTGGCAGAGGGAACTGCTTCCCAGCTGTGAAGGTGAATCCCACACAGCCTGTGGCCCACTGGACGGGGGTGGGTCCCAGGTCCCTCCAGGCCCTGAAGAGATTACCCTAGTGCAGCTAATCCTAAAACCAGAGGGAGCTCCATCCTGGACCTGTGACTTGAAGGTGTCCCCCATTGTGATGGCTCTGGAGAGACAAGGCACATAGGGCCTCCACGATGTCTACATTGATTTACAGTCTGGGCCATCACAGGGGGACTCTTCTGGTCCACGTTTAAAAAATGCTGTCTTCTTTCTCTTTGGAGACTGACACGAGGCCTGCAGGAGGCTTCCTTCCCCAGCAGAGCCAGCTGCTGCGCTGGCAGGCCCGGGCACACTGCTGTCCCCAGAACTGTCCTTGTGGCTCAGGCCACTGGTGGCTGCACTAACCCCACTTCCCCTCCACCTTTGCATCAGGAGAAAAGCAAATAGCCAGACCAAATAACTGTTTGCCTTCGCCCCCTACCCTCCAGGCAGCAGAAAGGGATCAGTGAGAAGCATTCAGGGAGAGGGAAAAGGGAGATGGGCTTCTCTGGCCAGAGAATGTGAGAGCTGCCTTGGCCTGGGGAAGGAGGACGGTGTGCAGCCCAGAGCAGGACTGAGGGAGGGATGCTGCGGGCACAGCTAGTGAAGCTTGAAGAGGCAATGCTGTTAAACACTCTACGCCCAGTGCAGAGAATGCATGGTCTTTTTAGATATAGAAGAGCAATTGCTGCTCCTTAGTGAGACAGACAGAGAGACAAAGGGATAAGGAGGCATCTCCTTGCCCTAGGGACCCGTTGTCAAGGTGGCTTCCTAGGGAAAAGCAGAACCTTCAGTGCTAAGACGATTTTCAAGGCTGGTCCTTGGGGCCTGCGTCTGGCCTCCCTGCTCAGCATTGCTGCACAGGGGAGGCTGTGTGCTGGCTTCCTCCTATCCCAGTTGCAAGGGGCAGCAAAACCCAAGCAGGTTATTACATCAGCGACTTTTCCCTTCCTCAGCCCCTGGGGAGCCCGGCCAGGTGGGAAAGCAGCGGGAACCTTTGCAACACAAATAAAGGATGATCTCAAGTGGCAGCAATGCTATTAGAAAATGAGAGACACATCTTATGGGCTTCACTCAGACTGAAAGGGATGGAGCCAAGCCCAGTTCCTTTCAGGGCTGCAGGCCAACCTGGGAGACCAAGAGCTGGAAAGATGGCCCTGAAACACAGGTTTGGTGACTTATGACACTGAACGACTTTAATTCACAGGGGAGCACGCCTGTTCCTTTACCATCCTTGCCTATTTGCAGCATTTGCTGTAAAATGGAAAGAAATACCCAGCTGCCATCTCCCACATACAGGCAGGGAGCAAATGAAATGTTTTCCTATTGTGTAAAATGCCCACGTTTTCCCATAAGCAGAGCATGGAACGATGTCATCAACCCCACCTCTTCCTTTGATTTTCCAAAAACACCTTCCAGAAGAGAGAGCAAACACCAGTTTTGTGGATGTGTGTCTACTACACAGGCACCTTTTGCGTCACCATCATGTTAAAAGTCTTTCTGTGTTCCCACAGCCACCTTGACGTCCTCAGGAGGAAAATTAGATTTGCACCAAACACGAGTGGGAAAGGGAGAGGCCGAAAATGCCTGATGCTGCTCGGCTCCATGAGGTGACGTCATGCCCCTAAAACCTTTAGGAGCCTGAGAGCCCAGGAAGGTGGTAGCCACACCCATGCCCCCTGCTCTCTGCTCTTCCTGAGCTCCCAGGACATACCCAGCCCACAGCATGGAGGGCCCGTTTCCTGGGAGTCCTGCTCCCTGACAGTCCTAGTCACACCTGGCTGCCAGAAATGTACCCTTATTCTCCTCTCACCTGCTCCCTGTGACCCCAAGTTCATCCAGTCTGAAGACAGTTTATCAAAGTGATAATAGTCGGATGAAAAACAGGGGAAAAATAAGCCCTTTTCTTATAGAGAAATAGTACACATCTTGGAA